TCGTAATGAGAGTATTATAGGTAGTATCATACATGCCAACTAAGCAATTTTGATGAGGTGTTATAAAATTAAATGAGGAAAGAGAAGCTTGAGTATCATATCATGATACCATATCATATTAAATGATGTACTACTTTGTGTCATGCATGGCAATAAATGTAGTCATATATGATACCAACATATGATACCATGCATTACAAATATAGTATCATACACTAGTATCATGTGCATGATACTAGTATATGATACTCCCCGTTACAACCAGCCTCAGCCCCTCGCTCTCCCCGCACCACACTCCCGTTCCCGTCACACTCTCGGTTGGTCATTCCTCTCCACCAAATCCCTAGCTCTCTTCCGACGGTGCGTGTGGCCGCCCCCCTCTCACCGGCGTCGCCGCCTCCCTCCAATGAAGCGCTTCGCCGCCTTCTCTCCCTCTCGCCCGTGTCACCTTTCCCTCTCCCCTGTGTTGCGTGCTCTAAGGCCAAGGAGGCGCGGGAGGAGCGCGGGCATGGCGGCCTTGTGCGCCTGTACTGGACGCTACCGTCCCCGATGGGCTCTCTACGCCAAAGCCCCCCTCCATCTCGACGGCACCCGAGATCAAGCCCGCACCGGAATCCCAATCGCCTACCACGCTCTACGCTCGACGGCAAGACCTACAAGGTGTGCATCTTCCCTGTAGTGTCTGCCTGGGTGGATTCTTGATTAGGAGTATAGTCTGTTGTGATTCTTGTGTGGATGGTATATGGTTGTGATTATTGATGGGATGCAGATGGGAGTAGGGATGCGTGTTGCAGAGGGAAGAACGATGGGATATGGACAACGATGCAGCTCCGGAAGAAGCGGCTGCCGCGTCTGCACTGATTAGCTGTAAGACAGTTACTCCAGCACTTACAGTACTGCGTCTCCTCAGTCTAGGTTTTGCAGTACAGTAGGGATGGTCTCTGTAACTGAAAGGAGTAGCACTGATTGGCATGAACTGTACTGTTGCATAGTGTACACGGTTTGAAAATCAGTGTATGTGGTTCGAAATTCCAACATACTCAGGGCATCTTCAGCCGCGCCCCCAGGAAGGCCTCCCCAGACATTTTTTTGCGCCGGCGTCAAAAAATCGACCTAGTCGCGCCCCTAGGAACCCGATTTTCGCCGGCCTGGACCGAAAACAGCGCCGGCGGACCCAGGCCGAACCCGGCGCGCTGGGGGGCGCCCGGGGGCGCCGGGGCAAACTGTTTTGGCGCGAAACAGCCGCGGGCCCGCCGCGTCAGCGACACGGCTCTCTTCTCGACCCTTCGTCGTCCTCACCGCCTCGTTTCTCGCGGCGAATCAATGCCAAAGCTGCCGCGCTGCCGCGCCGGTCAGCCTGCGCCATTGATGCCTCACGGGCGGCGCAGTGAAAACCGGATGACGCGCGTCCCTCGCCCTCCCTCGCCCGCCACGCGTACACACGGCAGCACACGCACGGGCGGTGCATCGGCCTATATAAGACGCGCCCCAGCGCACTCGGCGATCTCACACTCTCTCGCTGTCGTCATGCCTCCCTCTCCTCTCTCTCGCCGTCTCCAGTTCATCACACCCATGGCCGAGCGCTTCCCAGGCGACGGCGCGGCGGCGAACGGCTTCGGCCGCCGCCATCTTCACGAGGACGAGGCTCGCCTCCTTTTCGAGGCCGAGTACCCGGTCCCGTCGGACATGCGGGTGCCCGGGGCGTGGAGGATCAGCGCCGGCGGCGTGCCAGTGCCCCCGGGACCCACTGGCGCGGCGCGGCGTGTGGAGATCGCACGCATCCGCGCGTCCCTGCCGCGGGCGGCGAGGGAGGGGCCATGGTACGTCCCCGACAGCCCGCTCTGGGAGCCCTACTTCCGCCGCCATCACGCCGAGCAGCTCGAGGCCACCAACGGCGTCGTGCCCTCCTGCAGGCTCAACTCCGATGGCCGGCGCCGGTGGTGGGGCGTGCCCGGCCGCACGTTGGAGGCCGTCCTCGAGTACATCGAGGGCGGCAACACGCTGCGCCTCGAGTACCCCGCTACTCCGTCCTCCTCACGTCGTCGTGGGAGCTCCTGGACGCCGAGGCGCATGGAGCGGCCCGGGGCGTCGTCCTCCTCGTCCGGCCGCTCGTCGGGCTCTCCCTGCCTCCGCCCCGTCAAGCCGGAGCCCCAGGACACGCCTGTCAGCGCGCGCACCCGCAGCTCCGCGTCCGCGTCGGCGATAACGCCTCCCCCGCCGGCCGCTTCGCCCTCGTCGAGCCCAAGCCGGAGCCCGGCCTCCCCGGAGTACGAGGAGATAGCCCGGCGCGGCTTCTCCGACGAGGACGCCATGCGGTGGGCGCGGGACGACTACCTTCGCGACGAGATGGTCCGGCAGCGCCGGGCCCTGGAGGAGATCGCCGCCCGCAAGCGTGGGCGCGAGGACGAGCACGGCATCGTGGTCCTCGACAGCGACGACGACGACGACGCCCCCGGACCGTCCAACCCGCCGCGCCAACCAGGGGAGGGATGCAGCAGGGACGGCGGAGGCGTAGGCGGGGGCGACGACGACGACGACGACGACGACAACGACGGCGGTGACTACACGCGGTTCTACAGCCGCGTGGGCGGGCGGCGAGGCGGCGAGGCGGGCGGCGAGGGAGACGGCGGGGGTAGCCCGCGGTAGTTTTTTCCTTTTTTTGTAAAATATGTTTAAATTTGAACGAACTCGCCGATGTTTGCGTTAAATTTGAGTCGTGTTTGCGCCGTATTTGATTTTTTTAAAATAACATGGGCGCCGCGACTGGGGGGCATCACGCCCTCAGTGCGCGGTTTAGCGCCGGTGCGCCCCCAGGGGGCGATTTTTTGCCCCTCCTGGGGGGCCAACGGCTGGAGATGCCCTCATCCATTATTGTTGCTAGAGTAGTGTTGTAGTACTGCTGCTAAAATAAACATAACTGAAAATGCACTTGAGTTTAGCAGATGAATCTTTTCAGTTTAGCATATTATTATTTTCAGATGATTTTCAGATGGAGTAATGCTTAGCAGATGATTTTTTTTCAGTTTAGGAGTGCTGTAGATGGAGTAGATGATTCTTTGATGCACGTGCTTGGAGTATTTTGGTCAGCATGTTGTTGATGATGCAATAGTTAGAGTATTTAATATGATGCTGAACTGGAGTAGATGATGTAGTAGTTAGAGTATTTAGATGATGCAAAAATTGTTTAGGAGAAGATGCATGCTGTCAACACTGGAATGAGCATAAAGAATTGTTTAGGGCTTGTACTATCAACACTGAATGCTTGTAGGGCTTGTTTCTGGAGGAGTAGATGATGCATGCATGTTAAGATTACTACTTTTGCATCTGCAAATGTTAGGTTAAGTTTAGTTCAGTGCAAGTGTTTCGTTCCTCTACTACTTCAGTCCAGTTCAGTTTGTATAGTTCTGTTCCGTTCTTGTCTCTACAGTTTGTTACTCTGCAGTACAATTAACTGGAGTACAGTTTGTTAGTTGTACAGTAACTGTAGTTGTTGTGAATTTAGAGTAGCTGCACAGTTTCAATCAGTTTAGCACAATAACTGCCTCTGCTCCTCCTCCTCTGAAATTAATTTGAATCAGTTGCAGATGAGAAGGTGTTGTCGGGTGAGGAGTGCCTGGGCCCGCAGTGCCTCCGGGCAGCGAGGAGTGCTTGGGCCAACACGGTGAGGAAGAGCACCAGCAGTGCCTCTCGGGGCGGGATGGTGGCCTCCGCCTGGGCGCCTGGCCGAGGAGGAGTGCCGGGGTGCGGCGAGCGGTGCCTGGGCAAGGAGCGGGCAAGGAGGTGGTGAGCACCTAGAGCGGTGAGCAGTGGGCGAGGCGTGAGTTGCTGGGCGAGGCACGAGGTGCTGCCGACGGCGAGGTTCAATCTCAAACTGATTTGGGAGTTGGACAATGGTGAGGGCAGAATTGTACTCTTATAGAGATTTGGGAGCTGTCGGAAATGCAAAAAATGTCTCATATTTTGTTAGAGGGAGCAGTATGTAGTTTTTTTCCTGTAAAATTCTATAGCCGTTTACTCTCTGAGCTAAAAAGTTGCTGGAGTTTGGTCCTACACTCACCATATGAACATATATCTTCAAGCTGAACCACCTAATTTAGTGATTATACATTATGTGGTCAAGATGTCGCATGTACATTTATATTTAATTTGGCCACAACAAAATGTTTTGAATTTGCTTGCTCCTATTATGGAGGTGGACATTCCTGTTACTGTCTCCTGACTTATCTAATTTGTACTTATGTTCAGATGGCCCTGTTTAATTTGATTAGTTTTGCAGGTACCCGTAAAATGGAGAGAAGTTCGTGATATAGTGTGGAAAGTAAATATTGCTCACACTGAACTTGCAAAATGAAGTTAGACCAGAACTGGATGATTGATGCAGGCGAACAAAATTAAGTTTTGAGGTACACATATTTGAGCACCATACCCTGCCAAGCTTCACATTTTTTTGACTGTAAGCATTACTTTGTGATTCATGTCTTGTACTATCTGACAGATGCAAAACATCAAGGATAACATTATAAACAATTTGAGTCTATACAAGTGTATGAAAGCATCATATACTCCCTCTGTCCGGAAATACTTGTCGTAGAAATGGATACAAATAGATGTATCTAGAACTAAAATACATCTAGATACACCCATTCCTCGGACAAGTATTTTCGGACGGAGGGAGTACGTGATTAGAAAGTCCGGGACACAAATTAAGAAGCATGACATGTACATACTGTTCATACAAGTTTACTCTGGAATAGCTCCAAAAGATTTCTAACATTAGTCTGAGATATGTACTATTAAAGAGGGGAATTTCCTCTGATTTAGTTTTTTTTTGGGTATTACCGACCCATACCATGATATCAATTTATTTCTTAACTGAATTAACAAAAAAATTTATCCTTAATAAAAGTCAAAATGCACATAATAAGTGGAGTAAAGAATATGTATGATCAGGGCTTGTTTTACCTTTTTTCTTCTGTGGTACGTTGCCCGTCGTTTAGTGTCTATCTTATCCCTTTGTTCTTGTGATGGTACATAATCGGAGCATCTTCCTTTTCTTTTTTCTCCTTATAAGCTGCCCTTCTCCGTGCGTTTATAATGTCCCTTTTTTCTATTGATGAGGTCATGTTATGTTCTTCATCATCATGAATTGTATCAGCAGTACCTTAAACCGTATCTGGCATGTTACGGTCAGATATCATGGCATGCGATGGTTCTTGTGGAACAATCTTTACTGAAATGAGTAGAAAGGCAATTAAAACCAGTGGAGAGTACCTCAGACTTTAGACATCAAGAATTGCCCTTTCGGTTCTGCCGTGCTACTATACCTGGACTCCAGTTGAGGAGTTGATCAATAGTGGAGATGCCGCTAAGAGGGTGTTGGCTGGCATTTATCGCATCGATTGTTTCATTTTCCTTGCTATGTCGGTGTTGCTTAGCAAGGTTTACCCTTTACCAGCAAAATCCATACAGTGTAAGGTCATGTGAGGCTACCAATGTTACAACCATTTAATAACATCAGAAAAACCTCATCAACTATATGTATGTCCAATATGATAAATTATAAGAAATTATGCTCGCAATTACCTTGCACTGGCATTGCAGTCATTCGAAAATGATGATCAACATTAGAGATGTCAGCAAGAGGGTCTCGGGTAGAGGTATCACCAAGATGGGGTTGACATAGATTTGGAGCCTCCATATCTTCAAGCGGCATGGTCTTTCAGCGCTGGCGCAGTGGTAAAGCTGCTGCCTTGTGACCATGAGGTCACGGGTTCAAGTCCTGGAAACAGCCTCTTGCAGAAATGTAGGAAAAGGCTGCGTACAATAGACCCAAAGTGGTCGGACCCTTCCCCAGACCCTGCGCAAGCGGGAGCTACATGCACTGGGGCTGCCCTTTATATCTTCAAGCGGCATGGTCTTTCAGCGCTGAAAATGAAATTAAACAAAACATTAGCTCTTCCAGTTAGCTTACATAACTGCCTTCAATTGATGAAGATTAAGAAACTGAATAGTTTGTGCGTGTTTTTCCAAAACTAAAATTTTAAAGCACAAAAGAAACTGATGTATACCTACTAATGTAGTGAATCCAAAAGAGCAACATATATGAATGAACCAGCAAATAATGTTAGCCTGGAAGAAGGCTGATATATATGAGGCTATCCTGGCAAGCATGAGCATGAAATCTACAAGGTGTCTGTTTTCTCTTGCTTGCATAATTACTTCTGACTTCATTTCAGTTTTTATAGCATAGCATTGCAACACGTAAAGTCCTTTTGGTTTGTATTTGTCTCCTCGCTTTGCCCTGTACATACTCACCGTGTGTTCAGGTGATATTATTTTGGGATAAGTATATTTTTCGTCCCTTAACTATTCCGATATTTTAGAAATAGTCCTTCAACTCTAAAATCAGTAAAATCTAGTCCCTCAATTGTTGAAACCGAATATTTTTCATCCCTCAAACTGCTTTGGATGGTTTTGTGCTGACATGGCATGGTTTTGACCGTTGACCTCGCCACCTCATTGTCCACCTCACCTTCGTCTCTCTCTCCTTCTCTCTCTTCACAGGAGCACCTCGCCATGACCCACGTGTGTCTGCTCCGGCCGCGGCCTCGCCTCTATGGAGCTATGCTCCTCCGCCTCGCCCATCTTGCACAAACGTAGTTAGCTCCGATTGATACAGCAAGACGCACACGTTTAGAGCAGCAATCAACTTGAACGATTCACCAGTGCGAAGCTAGCTAAGCTAATTGATTTACCACCGGCCAGAATCGCACCACTCCCACGCACGCAGCCAACCGGCCGGAAACACAGCACACACACACGAAGGCTGGCTATGAATGCCAAAGGCTCGTCTACAGACTGGTTGTCAGTGTGAAATAATATGGGAAGCGTAGAACCCTTTGTTTGGGCCGCATTGCATTATATGGAACATATGCCATGGCTTACAAGTTTGGATCGAGGCTAGATCAATCGATTTACAGAGAGATATTCGGGAGAGGTTGAAACAGAAGAAGAGATAGAATAGGTTTACAATTCAAAGAGAATTCTATCCCTATACAACAACTAATTCTAACACTCTCCCTCAATCTAAACCTCATGAAGCTTTGTCAAGGTTAAGATTGTACTTGAACTCATGGGAAAGTATCTAGTACTCCCAGGCTTGGGGTACTCCCTGTGCTCCAAATGTCCGAAAAACATTTTTAAATTGTTCAAAAAATTCTGAAAAAAAATGCAGCACGTTAACGGAACACCGATGTCTCTTGTCACAAAATTTCATATCAAAATTCGAAACATTGCTCGAGATACAAAAATGACAAGTTTTTGTACATAACATAAGTTGAGCTTTAGATTTGGCCCATTATCACATTGATGTCAAATTTGTCATTTTTATATATCGAGCAATGTTTCGAATTTTGATTTGAAATTTTGTGACAAGAGACATCGATGTTCCATCGATGTGCTGCATTTTTTTCAGAATTTTTTGAATATTTTAAAAATGTTTTTTGGCATGGGTGCACCGGGAGCACCCTAGGGGTGGGAGTACTTGATACTTTCCCTTGAACTCATCTAGCCGTCTCACGGTGAGTGGTTTTGTAAAGCCATCTGCAAGTTGATCTCCTGTGGGTATGAACCGAATGTCAAGTAGCTTTCGAGCTACTCTTTCTCTAATAAAGTGAAAATCAACTTCAATATGTTTGGTTCGTGCATGGAAAACATGATTAGCTGAAAGATAGGTGGCACCAATGTTATCACACCATAACCTAGCAGCTTGTGGAGCTCTAATTCCAAGCTCATAAAGTAAAGTCTGTATCCACATTACTTTAGCTGTTGCATTAGCCAAAGCTTTATACTCAGCCTCAGTACTAGACCTTGAAACTGTAGCCTGTTTTCTTGCACCCCATGATACAAGGTTTGTTCCCAGAAACACAGCAAAACCACTTGTGGACCTTCTGTCATCAGGACAACCTGCCCAGTCTGCATCAGAATATGCAGTAACAAGCATGGATGAAGACCTGGTAATATGAAGCCCAAGTCCCTCTGAAAACTTAAGATATCTCAAAATTCTCTTGACTGCAGTCCAATGAGTAGTTCTAGGTGCATGTAAATATTGACATACTTTGTTCACAGAATAAGAAATGTCAGGACGTGTAAGAGTCAAGTATTATAAAGCACCTACAACACTTCTATAATTTGTTGCATCCTCTGGTCCAAGCACTTCTCCACTTTCAACTGTAAGTTTTTCTGAGGTTGAGATTGGTGTACTCACAGGTTTATAATGTTCCAATCCCAGTCTCCTGAGAATATCGGTAGTATATTTGTCCTGTGTGAGAAGTATGCCATCCTTTACCTGTTTAACCTCTATTCCAAGAAAGTAGTGAAGATCACCTAGATCCTTAAGAGCAAACTCCAATTTCAGATCCTTAAGCAAACAGGTGGTGGCATCTGAGCTTGAACTAGAAACAATTATATCATCAACATAAACAAGCACAAATATAGTGATATTGCCTTTATTGTAAAAGAACAAAGATGTATCTGCTTTTGATGGTGTAAACCCAAGTTGTTGTAACTGCATGCTCAATCTTGAGTACCAAGCTCCAGGGGCCTGTTTCAAACCATATAAAGCTTTATCCAACTTACAGACATAATGTGGTGTGCTTTGGTTCTCATATCCCGGTGGTTGCCGCATGAACACTTCTTCCTCAAGAACACCATGAAGAAACGCGTTCTGAACATCTAGCTGCCGTAGGCTCCAACCTCTGGAAATAGCAATAGACAACACAAGCCGAATAATAGCCGCCTTAACAACAGGACTAAAGGTATCTTCATAATCAATGCCAAACCTTTGTTTAAATCCTTTAGCAACTAATCTAGCCTTGTACCTGTCTATACTCCCATCGGATTTTCTCTTGATCTTGTATACCCATTTACAATCTATAACATTATTTCCCTTCCTTGGTGGTACTAAGTGCCAAGTTTTGTTTTTCATGAGTGCATTGTACTCACTATCCATAGCCTCCTTCCATTCTTTATGATTAAGTGCATCATGCAAGTGGGTTGGTTCACCAAAACTACTAAGGAAAGCTCTTTTGACCCTGTCATACCTTACAGTACCATCAGTATATTCTTTTTCCTTGATAATACCTGACTGAGATCGTGTATGGCGTCGCGGAGCTGCTGCTGGTGAAGTTTGCACAGAAGATCCCGATGTGGCAGTCGCTGTTGGTTGCGCCACAAAAGATCCTGCGAGATCAGCTGCAACCGAGACAGCCGCAGGTTCCCAATCCAGCTCCCGATCCGAGGCGGATCGCGACGCAGACGTGCCAGGCATCCTACTGTCGGTTCCTGGGTCGGCCCACGGGCTGGTGGCGCGAGGTGATTCGCCCCCGTCCGCTCCTGACGAGGTGGGCTCAGCATCAGGCCCCGCTGCACGCGGGCTGTCGGCCACCAGCGCGGCTGAGACGGTGGGCTCAATGCGGTCGGGCCTGTCAGCCGCCCCAACGCGATTGGCTGCATGCGGATGCCTGCGATCGTCCTCGGATCACGCGGCGCTGGAGACAGCGGGACTGGCGCGGGGATCTACCTCGGATCGAACGCCGCTGCCACCGGAATCTGCATGGGATCCAGCGCCTTCTTTGTCTGTTTCTGCATACATGAAATCATGACCCGAATATGCACAAATATCACTAGAATCCGAATTTTTTATGGAATTCTTCACAAGATCAGCTTTATATAATTCTCCCCCGTGATCTGGAAGAAGGGCTATTTTAGCACGTAGGAGAGCTCCAGCATTTGGGTGAAGTTTGGCAAATGGAAAAAGAGTTTCATCAAAAACAACGTCTCTAGAGATATAGATACGGCCAGTTGCAATCTCTAAGCATTTGTACCCTTTGTGGAGATTACTATAGCCAAGAAAAACACATTGGGTGGATCGAAACTCGAGCTTGTGGCGATTATATGGACGTAAATTTGGGTAGCAAGCACACCCAAATTTTTTAAGAGAGTTATAATCGGGTGTTTGATGATATAATCGCTCTAATGGAGTGGAATTACCAATGACTTTACTCGGAAGACGATTGATAAGATAGGTGGCTGCGATAAATGCTTCATCCCAATATTTGAGAGGCATGGAGGCATGTGCAAGGAGGGAAATGCCAACTTCAACAATGTGGTGATGTTTTCTCTCAGCAGAGCCATTTTGCTGATGAGCATGAGGGCAAGAGACATGATGTTCAATGCCTATGCTACGGAAAAAGGAGTTGAGCTTTTCATACTCCCTTCCCCAGTCACTTTGGACTGCCAAAATTTTCCTGTTAAAGTGCCTTTCAACAAGCTTTTGGAATTCTTAAAACACAGAAAAAACTTCAGATTTGTGCTTTAACAAGTAAATCCAAGTAAACTTGCTAAAATCATCGATGAAACTGACATAATATTTTTTTTCTTCCAAAAGAATCTCTAGCATGACCCCATACATCACTGGAAATAAGCTCTAAAGGAGCATGGGACACACTGTTTGACCTAGGATAAGGGAGTTGATGACTCTTGGCACACTGACAAGCTTCACAAACAGACTCACTGGATTGACTATATGACAAGGGCAAATTGCCTTTATTAACTACTTGTTTGACTATGACTGATGATGGGTGTCCTAATCTTTGATGCCACCGTGCCAAAGAGGGCTTGATGACAGAATAAGCATGACGACGCTTGTGGTTG